CTTTTTGCCTAATTTAGCTCACAGGTCTCCTAGAGACATGAGGATCTTTTACGTCCCTCCCGGACGACTTGTTCCCTGAATTTTTCCGCCCTTAAAAATTCCACGACCTCTGCCGGGTTTGAACCCGCGTACCTTGAGTCATGAGGTGGGAACGTTACCCCTAGACTACGGAGGCCGGTTGTTGTAGTTGTAACTGTAGTTGCATTGTATTCCTTTGTGTAGTGTGTCCTTTATTGTTTGTGTAATTTTGTGTGTTGTGTTTTGTTTGAGTGTGGTGTGTTATTTGTCTTATTGTAGTACCAGTGCCACCGAGTAGAACCCATTAGCAGTTTAAATAATAATGCCGAAAGTCAACCGATATTCCAGTGAAACATAAGTCTTACATCTTCACTTTCGAAAAATAAGCCAATCAGGTTCTACTTGCTCCGGAACATCGGTTGACTTTCAGCAGACAGAAAACAGGACCGTTCATAATCATCACTGTGAGAACATCAAATATAAAAATTGTTTTCTTTTCATCGAATACACCAATTCATATTATTGAAACTACACAATATGAATCTGATAAAAAATGTAACACGGAGAACAACACAAAAACCTGAAACTACACAAATCTTAAAATATTCAACAGTGTCGTACATTTCCCAAGGTACGAGTTATATACAAAAATAACCAACATTGATTACATTTGTCGGCAGCGTCATTGCCAGTAGTCTGCGGTCATGCACACTATTTTCGGGTTAAAATAATATAGAGGTTAATTTCAGATTGTGTCCGTGGAAAAAAATTAATTTAAACGACAAGTTTATTCGATTATTTAGTGAATATCGGCAGATAAAATAAAATGCAGACACTTTGTTTAGTTAATAAGCGAAGTTAACGAATGAAGAGGATTACATTATAATAATAAATCTAAGCTAATCTAAGGTTAATGTAGAGTAAACGATATTGGCTTATATACAAGAGATACCTAGTTCGTAACTTGATCAGGTTATCTGTTCTACTGGCCAAGGTTCGTCATGGTTTTCTTCATTCTCTCTATATCAAGTCGAGAGAGTTTCCTGAAATAGATTACGAAAAAATCCTCCTAATTTCATGATTAATATGTCTGCATCATATACCGCATCCTCTTTCAAGATTAGCGCTAATTTTTTTTTGTATATATATTTATTGGCAATCAAAATTAAACTCATTATTTTAGCTAATTTGCTAATTTAAACACCGTCCTCGTGTGCTTATTGCGCGCTAAATACCGTAAATATCAATAAAAAATGCACGAGAAGCCGCGCATTCCTGTTATGATCAGTCCGTAAATCTGACCATTTCCGCTATGAAGCTCTTGTACCTTCATTCGAACTTCCGTCATATTAGGATTTGATATCGGGCTCATCTTTGTACGTTGCTGTTGCTTCTTCAGTCTTCGGCCCACTCAGCATGCACCGACACGACGGTTGGAATGTTCAACATGTCAGCCTACACGCGAGATGTTGCTCCAAGAAGCCATCAGCCCCCCCCCCACTTTCTACAACAACACACTCGTGATGCAAATATTGCATTCACATATGCTACGTTGCTTCTCTAACAGGCATCTAGAATTGTTTTCAGACACCTGAAGTTTTCCACAAGCTTCTCAGTCAGTTAACTTTTAAGCAAAAGTTGGCAACAAAATGCACCTACAACCTACGTGTTCAGGGACACACATTCACAGAAAACAGTCAATATATGAATTCAGAAAAATAAATACAATATTAACCATCAGAAATAAAAACTCACCCCAGAATAGTCTATAATATAGTGTATATAATACATAACAATCCGGTGCATCCAGTCGGCTTATTTATACAGCATATTTAGGCACAGTATTGCATTGTATTGTATTTAGAGAGGGTGGGTTTCCCCATGCACTTAAACCAACTGTTGGTCCGTTGTGTGTCCCCCTATGATATTCTACCAGTCTCTATTCCCTACCGGTACCGGTGCGTGCCATCAGTCCCGACTCAGCCAGCGAGTTCGGCCTCTACTGGCTCAGCGGTATCTCGATGCTTCCCCCATCTACCAGATGCGTTAGAGACTACTGTTGGGCGGGAAATGTCCTGAATTTGGCTCAGTGGTCCCCTTGGGACATGAGGTTCTTTTACGTGACGTACAGCTACGACACGGGACCCACGGCTTAAAGTCCATCCCGGAGGACTTGTTCCCTGAATTTTTCCGCCATTAAAAATTCCACGACCTCCGCCGGGTTTGAACCCGCGTACCTTGAGTCACGTGGTGGGAACGTTACCCCTAGATTACGAAGGCCGATTTTTAGGCACAGTATGTGGTACATTATTTTTAACTAAGAGCAGAAGCTGAAGATTGCACACATGTGTCGAAACATGTCCTAGAGATCAACTCTATCTCCTGAAAAAAGTAACGTGTTGACAGGAACAAAATAAATAATATCTACATTAATATTACAGCAATACAATTCACGGAGAGAATAAAAATATAGATAATTTATTTATAAAACCACAAAAATGGAATCACTGAAAAAACTCTGACTTTTGAATTTAGGTTTTCAAGCCTTTTTGGTTTTTGACGTGGATTTTAGATCGCTGACGTCAGTAAATAAATAAATAAACAACCATCATCTGCAAGGAACAGCGTGTTGCTAGAATTACTTGTTCTCGTTTTATGGTTTCAATTATTTCATTTACACGGCGGATAGGTTCAAGAAAATATCACAATCGATAGCACTTAAGATATAACATAATATCGTTTAAGGTCTATGAATATAGAGGCCAGCAAAAAGAAACAGACTCCTTTATCTTCAAAGTATAGTTCTTTGAAATATTATACGAACTTTTCATCGAATATGTAGGAAACCTCAAGCAACTAAGAGTATGAAATTCTAGGAAGTTAAACCGTATATTCTGAGAGACATTTACCGACGTTCGGTTCTGTTTGCTTGCTTGTTCGGCTTACTCTTTAATTCTGACAACAGAAGGAGCAAGTTCCACCGAAACGTTGGCAAAATTCTACCAGACTGCGCAGAGTCACATCCAATTCTTCATAGACAACTTAGTGAGAACCTCAAATGTAACAAGTAGCTTACTTCTTGGTAAAGCACGATTATATTGTGACACGACACCAGAGAGCCGGAATAGTTAAGTCAGAATAGACGTTCATTGCTAGGCAACGACTTGATATACCCATTTCCGTGGAAACGTATATGCAAGCAACAATCGAATAACATCCATTGCTGCTGTAACCGATCATTACCTACCGGCATAAATTTTAAGCACTATGCCATGAAGACGTATGGAGGAGTGGATGTATAGATCCACATTTTTTTTGACCTCGGCACTAGCTGGAGATGAGTGGTCAGCTTCCCCCCCCCCCCGGCCTTTTTACCCCCAGGAAAAGATCCCCTGGTACCCATTGGATAGGAGACTGGGCGAACCCCAGAGCCAGTCTGGACGACGTGGAGAAGAGAAAATTCTTCACCCTACCGGGACTCGAACACCGACTACGATATCCCGGTTCGTACGTCTCGCATGTGCTTGTAATACATGCCTCACTTATTCCTCCTTCTTTATCATCCTTCAGAGATATTCGGATCGATATTTTCGTGTGGCAAGTCGTCCAGAATCGCCATAACGTGACGTAGTGACCTCACGGCGGATTTCCGGTTCTCCAGCATAGATAAGACTCAGCCCCACCAATAAGAAGGAGCTCTGGGGTTAGCATGCGAGAGAAGGGGCACTAAACCCTTGTAGGCGTGAGGAGCGGGGGTCATGGGGTTTACCGACTTTCTGATGCCATGTACTGAATATAAATTTCTGAAGCAATTGCTCTGGAATGTGAGGGGCTCGGTTCGAATCTCGACCAAGAGATTGGCTATCTTGAGGTTCTTGGTGGTTTTCCTCAATCTTCCAGGGTGTTGAGGAGAATATTTGGACTGAAGATGGATGAAGTGACAGGAGGCTGGAGAAAACTGCACAAAGAGGAGCTTCATAACTTGTACTCTTCTCCAAGTATAATTAGAATGATCAATTCAAGGAGGATGAGATGGGCAGCGCATGTAGCACAAATGGGCCCGAAGAGGAATACATATAGGATATTGGTGGGAAAGCCAAGAGGAGAGAGTCCACTAGGAAGACCAAGGTGTAGGCGGGTGGACAATGTTAGAATTTGATCTCAGAGAGGAAGGATGGGGTGGTATGGACTGGATCTATGTGGCTCAGGATAGGGACCAGTGGAGGGCTCTTGTGAACACGGCAATGAACAACATGGTTCCATAAAATGCTGAGAAATTCTTGAGTAGCTGCACAATTGGTGGCTCCTCAAGAAGTGCTCAGCTCCATGAAGTTAGTTAGTTAATTAAAGCGTGCAACAGCGTTCAGGCCGTCTCTGGGGCACACCCAACTTGATATTCAATGGGTGATGGGGTGTTTTTCCGGTGGAAAAGTCGCCACTTACCTACATTTAGTACAAAGGCGAGGAATGCATGGAGCTATATATCCACTAACCTCTTGTGTTTTCATGGCAGGGCGCTTAATTAAGCAGAGGGACAATTTGAGCTTTAATTACTTTTTGCGAATAGAAGGATGATTGTGAAATGGAAATGATCTCAAAGGCAGAGTTGATGCCAATATTAAGGTTCTCACTGAAATATTCATAAACAACTTGAAAGACATCAGTGAAAATACCATTCCTCCAGGCCGGGATGCATAGCCTAGTCGCCCAAAATACGGAGCAAAGTGCTACTCACCATACCACGAAATTGTCGTGTGAGAGTATGTTCATACAGGTAGAATTCAGTATGACCGGACGGCTTAAACACTCTCATGTCTACAGAATTTGTATGACACGGTCTTTGTGTTTTGGAAAGTGCCAACAAGTTAAGGCTACCGAAGAAACCTGATTCTGGTATATTCACGTAATTTTGAAAATTTTGTTTTCCAGGATTACAAATTATTTACATTGTGTCAGTTACATATCTCTTGTATCTTCTGCAGAGACGATGGACCTGTACCGTATGGGAACATTATGTTCGATAGGAGAGTCGTGCGGGGAAGTACCTACGCCCAGCACCCAATGGCGGTAAGTGGTCATACTCTCACCTTCTGTCCTGCTTTACCTAACAAGGATATAAGAGTAACAACAAATCTTCACTTACGTGAGCATTAGCCTAGATCATTAAGCAGAGGAAGAGCATACAACGGTAGGGGAATTGCAGTTCAGTAGTTGTCCTACAACTAACTCCACGGAAAAGAGACCTTCTTGAAAGTCTAATGGTCGAGCAGAAATCAAGAAATTTCTCACCCTCATGCAGCCGGACGTTTCAAAGATGTTTACAAGAGCCTTCCACCAGTTCCCGTCCCAATCCACCCACCCGATTTAGTGAACAACTTATACCTGATATCTTGCAAGAGATGTCTTCTCTTCAGACTGCCAGGCGAAGAGTCAGTATCTCTCCCATTCCTGCTTAGTGTTCTGTAGATTTCTCTCCTTATACAAACTCATTCACTGTTACACGTATGTAAAAACACAGTAAAGTGAGGAATTACGGACTAGATGTCACAGGTTCGATTCCTGTTACAAAAGAAGTGATTTTCTGTGAAGAAAGCAGTCTTCTGGGACTGCAGACTGTTTGTACCGGTTCTCACGGTCTCTTCGCTTGCGGATTTCTTATTTTTTTCCTTCTAGCCTGAAGATGGAGGCTATACGTTCTTCCGAAACGTCGGATAACACCACATTTACACGGTGCCAGATCCCAGAAGACTGTTTTCTTCATAGCCACAGCAGTGAAAACCTCAGATCTTACAAAGTGGTTTTTTGTTCACCGACTCGTGGGTTCCTTCGGCCTCCAAAAAATATAAAAGACAGAAAAGAAAAATTATTTTCAGAATTGACACAGAGCACCATGAACTTTCTCAGATCATTGAAAGAGTGAACCCCTAAACAAACCTGGGAAGCAGGGGAAGGGCTTCTTCCTCTGTGTTATATGCGACCACAGAATAAAGAATGTTTGGAGCCTTGCCTCCATTTACCTCCGTGGCATGATTGGGGTGAAGCGGAACAGCTCTGCCTGTTATGTCTACTAAATGCAACGAATCAATTTGTTATAGTAACTAGTACAATGCTCAATGCATGAGCCTTTTTCGGAGTTATACGAGTATTAACAAAATCCATGAGTCTCTTTTCAGAACTGAAAAACTCTTACAGTACGTGATTACATTAACACAGACCAGTTACCTTAGTTGACTCCGTGGTTTTAATTTCCCTCTTAAATGTGTTCTACAGTAAAAGCTTGCAAATGCAAAGTGTTTTGCTTTTTATGATATTATTACATCATCGTGACAAATTAGTATTACATAGCGAGAGTCGCATACTAAGACACAAAACCAATGACCAGGTTTTGTTATTGTGGGGTCAGAAAGAAGCATTTCTTCTGTGATGCTCCTAATGCATAACTGAAGCATAACTGCACTTAAGTGGACCTGATTCAATCAGTGGCGGGTCCAGGAGCAAATAGACCTAATATCTCTTACCACCCACAGAGCAGAAACCGCTTACAGAACGTAACACTTCTCAAGAAATTACACAAAAATATAACGAGAAATCGAGTCTCCAGAATCGCGAAAGTACACGTAAATCGAAGACTAAAATAATTGTATATCATTAATAAAGTAAATTTTATAATGAAACAGTCAGTAATACATATATCAAAATTTACATTCATAACATTTCAGCTATATTCCGTCATATTTTACACGTCAAAACCAAAGACTAACTATAGAACTGCAATTCTATAGCATTCTATCTCTTTCTCTTGAATTCTCTTCGATTTATTTAAAATATATTATCTAATTTGAACAATTTTACAGCTCTAAAATAAAGCATTGAAACAGTGTACATATAAACATTTGCATGCTAAATGCTTTTCTTCATAGATTAAAATATTACCTTAAATTCCTATCATGATACAAGAAGAGACAGTCTACCGCCAGTATAAATTGAACTGAGTCTTCTTTTTACCGCACCAGTGTGCAACTATCAGCAGAACGGAAGTATAAGAGAAGCCAAGAACATAATATTTGTATTGGAAATAAAATATACGAGACCTGAGAGTTATATATTTTGAGATCACGAATTAAATTACGTATCTCTAGATTTATTAAAAATTCCACCAGTCTTCATAAGTATACAAAATCGTCTCCGAAACATAAATAAAATTATCCTGCAGCATTCTGTTGCATTGTGTATTCTAATTAGCTCGTGCAATTCTCACCGTCCCTGTGCAACTTCTTCGATGTATTAAAGTTCACACTACAGAAGCATTTGTCTGCCGGTCACTGTAGCCGAGCGGTCTAAGGCATGCACTGTCTTAGGTCGCTCGGAAGCCGGGATCGTGGGTTCGAATCCCACTCAGAGCATGGATGTTTGTGTGCGTTTTTCGGTGTCTGTGCAGAAGTAGAGGCCTTGCGACGAGATGATCACCCGCCCAAGGAGTCCTACCGAACGTGTAAGATCTAGAAAAGCCGAAGTGAACAGAGAAGTTCATGGAGGTAGGCCTAGGCCCACTGGGGCTGTAGTGCCAAGGGGGGGGGGAAGAAGCATTTGTCTTTGCCTATATTCGAATACTATATGTTTCGAACCAAATTGCGGTCATCATTAGGTGTACAAGTTGTAGACGAAACTGCTGCCCGAAATGTTGTTTTAAACAAAAGCTTGACGATTGATAACGTCTGGAAGTTGGTAATTGTAATACGGTTACAAACTCATAGATTTTATTTTCTTATAGCTATCCTGAGGCAGGGAATGGCTCTGTCAAATTGGCCCAGATAAGTAGGGTTCTTACCTGAGGACGTAGAAGCAGTGTCCAGTATCCGAAACGTTGTTCCAAATAAAAACAGGACAATGATTAATGTCCAAAAAAAAAATCAATCATTTTATTTTAAGAAGATGGTGTTTTTTTTTTCTGGAATTCCTTGACCAGTTTTTATTTATTTATTTATTAAATACACACTCATTATCCAAAAAATAATATTTCTATTGCGAAAACGTTAAGACATTTTCTGGCTTGTACACAGTTCTCTGAGTCCTTTCTTTGTACGTGGATATTGGGAAGGAGGGGGTATGATGTCATTATGCTTTCAATTAGCCTCGATCTAAAAGATTCTGTATATGAACATTGTTACGTGAGCAAACGTTTCAGTTGCATATGAGAACCTATTTCATTACCGGAAAATTCATGCTCTTAATAGGAACAACATATGAAGTTTGTGAAAAGTGGAAAAATGCATTTTTACAGACCTCAAGATTTCTTCAATGTCTTCGAAGGGGAATAAGTGAAATAACATGCCTGAAAGGAAACGCTTTAAAATTTAAACTTAGAACGTGGTTTATTATATAAATATTATTTTGGATACTGTCCATTGCCTCAGATATGTGTATCTTATATCAGCCACTGATCGGCTGTCATTACATTAATACTTTGTTTGATAATTAGTGATAAGGTTGGGATCAAACCATGGACCTTCATAATATTAGACTAAGTATTCTACCTACCATACTAATGGAGTATTTCATTCTAAAGTCCCCGACTCCAGAAGTCGGCAATAATATCAAAGTGATATAGCAATAATTATCTGCCAGTGTATCTTGAAAAAGGAAGTAGAGACAACTCCGGAAATGTCCTGCACATTAGATATATTTGTAACAGTAGGAAATGTCGCTAGTATCATCCTTTAATGTAGCGTCGTGAAACAACTGACTAGACCGTCGATGTAACCCTTTAAAGTCCAGTGGTTGCATTATACACCACCTGCTTTAAAACACTAAAACACTGCTTCTGCCCACAGACAGCGTTTGCGTGTTACGTATGGTTTTAAGAATAAACAGTGCCCCCCCCCCATATGCTGCATTAACAGGTTGATATTTGTCGAGGAGACGTAATTCGTTTCTTGCGAGGTACGAATTGATTTTTCATACATTATTTAGAAGAAACTCCTGTAAAATCAAAACAACGATCATGTTCTTATACTGCGAACGTGGTCGTTTTCGTGGGGTTTCATGACGTCTGCTTGTTGCCTGCACAATATAACAAAAGAGTGCAGGAGACAAGTAGAAGGCAGACAGAACCATGAAACTCAACATGTTTGCAGCATAGGACAAGGTGAAGCCAGACATAGAAAATAAGAGGTTTAAATTTGGCGGCGGTCAATCTTACGACCTTTCGAGTGGCTAAACTGACGTTGTAGCGTAAGATAAGTAAGATAGACATGATCTGCTTTGCAAAGCCTGTAGTGACATAGGACTTGAGTAACGTGCACAAGAAAAAAATTTCAATAACATGCTATAGGTGCGATGCTTATATCTGACAAAGGCCAAGCATATTCATAAGAGGCAAACACATCTTCTCGTCATAGAGGGTGTTACATAAGGACTACGGTCGCGAGGATTCAGTCGTAAAAATTAACTTTGGTCGTGAACCTCAAGGGGGTTGGCGCGAAGACGAATTGACTGTAGGTAAACGACCAGTAGTGCCGGTCACGGTAGCCGAGCGGTCTAAGGCATGCACTGTCTTCACTCGCTTGGAATCCGGGATCGTGGGTTCGAATCCCACTCGGGGCATGGATGTTTAGTTTGTGTGTGTGCGTTTTTCTGTGTTTGTGTACAGGTAGAAGCCTTGCGACGAGCTGATCACCCGTCCAAGGAGTCCTACCGAATGTGTAAGATCTAGAAAAAGCGAAGTGAACGGAGAAGTTCATGGAGGCAGGCCTAGGCCCACTGGGGCTGTAGTGCCAAGGAAAAAAAAAAAGAAACGACCAGTAGTAAAGTAACCTTGAATGTGTAAATGGCGTATTAAGGTTTTGTTTAGACGAAATGATCAATTGGATAAGGTAGCTGAATGTAATTCGAGGTTCTCATAGTGGTAGTTATGAAGGATTTTGTCTTCTGGGATATAATGCCTTGTATTCCGTTGAAAAATCACTTGTAGTTTCGAAGGAAAAAGTCGCCTCCAACTTCAGTGTCGACGAATCAGACAAGCAAAGCATACCACATAAACTAGACAACACTACAACAGTAAAAATCGACATCCTGGTAATAAGAAAGAAGATAAATTCGTGATCAAGAAACAGTCAACACAATAATAGAAGAATCAGACGAGAAGATGCGTGGCCCACTAGAGCAACAGACATTAAGCTGAATACAGCATACGAACACTTTTAAATTAATTTTTGAAAATCAGCAAAAATAATTTTTAATTTTTAACTTTTGGTTCATCTTGTAATGAAATCAACATCCAGCAGTTAGAAGATAAATATATTATACATAGTAATCATTTTAAGTATATGCACGTAAATATGAATATATGCTTTACAAATCAATAATTGTGTAAATTATAACACCTGAGGATGACCCTATAAGGGTCGAAACATGTAGTGGAACATAAGTTAATAACTTATAGCTGCGCTGACGGTGTAATTTGTATTATTAGTTATATTCACGCAACCAAGATGCAAACATTAAAACAGAACGAAATAAACTCCCTCATCTGGAAAGATCTTGTGACCACGAACACGTTTGACAAGATTCAGTCGCAACACACAGAAGTGATTATATATATATATATATTATTTATTATACTGCAATTGGGTTTTAGCCCGGTGGCAGTAGTACACAATAGGACACAACAGACAAGTAACACACATTACACTAAGTGACAACACGTTCAAACAAAACACAATACACAAAACACAACAATAACGACATCCTACCACAGTGAATACAAATACGTAAATACCAAATACCAAATACGTAATACAATACAATACCCGTAATACAATCTCTGGCACCGGTTTCTAAAGTAGTTGTATATTTTTAGTCTCTTCTTGTGGCATGAAATTACTTTGAATTACTTTAATTGCAATTCTGAATAGACAATACTTTGTAAATAATAATTCTCGCGTAATGATCCGGCACATTGTGTAATACACAGTAGTTTCCTTTAAATCTGTTCTTTCAATAGCAGCCCAAATGGAACCCTTATTTCGGATACGCCAAGTTACTTTCACAGGTCAGTTCACTTGGAAATTTGCAAAGCATGATTGTTCTTTCCACAAAATACAATTTGCATGTTGATGTTTCAGTCATTTTAAGTCATTTTCCTGTAATGCACTTGCATGAAAACTAATATACAGGGTGAGTCTAAATTACTGTAGGGGTCTATAAACAGAAACCCCAAACAATAATGTAGAATCAATCTGTACATTAATATCTTTCGTATTTCACTCGCTTTCCATCTGATATTAAAGAGTTTTTCTTTGGAAGAAAATATATATCTTTCAATTCTCTTAACTTCATTTTTTTAGTGTTTTATAATAGAGGGATTATGGTTATTATATTCACTGCATCTTTTGGGGCAACTAAGCTGTTGTACTTGATGTGAACACAATATCTTTGTGATGAGTAATCTTACTGTACTTCGAGACCACAACATCCTTCTTATATAATTAATAATTCAGAGGTTTATATCAAAAATATTTTCCGACAAATATTATAGAACTTAAGAAATTAAACTGCATATTGTGGAAGGATATTACTGAGCTTAAAGCACTGATATTTATGTGAATATTATAGTCCCTGTACAGATAAATCCGCACTGCAGTTTTAGAAACCACTTTTGTTGTTTGTTGTAACTTCAATTACACGCTATATTTTACAGGGGTTAATCGCTTTCTTCTACCTTTCCTACGTCCTTTTATATATTGTGACGTACAGAACCAATGATAGACAACGGTTCGATAAACACATTCCAGCGGACATCGATTCGGGATAAATAGCCTGTTATTAAGTAAACCCAACAACACGCGAAAACAGCAGATGTCTACTGCTAGGAAACGGACGTTTCTTTCTATGGGGTCCTCCCGAGGCTATATAACAGTGGACGTTATGGTCCAAAAGCACATTGAAGGAAGAAGCCTGCTTCATGCAGGCCATTTTAGTTTCCGTGCATGTCATAGAAAGACACTGTAATATATGAGGCTAACGGACCACGTGACCCTCATTTTAAGAAATAATGTATACGGCCGGGGTGTTCTTGGACATCGGAGAGGCCTTTGATACCAAATGGTACTCTGGCTTGCTATATGAGGTATCTAAATTGGAATTTTCGACCACTTTGATCAAGCTCATTAGCTCCTTTCTTTTACAAGGCAAATTCAGTGTTTCGGGAGAAGACAAAATTTCTACGCCAAGGGAAATGCACGAAGGGGTGCCTCAAGGTTCTGTCCTGTCCCTTACTGTGTATAACATGTATATGAATGATGCCCCCCCCCAAACATTTGGTGTTTACCTAGCCCTATTTGCCGACGACACTTGTCTGCAAGCGACGGATCGAAAGGAGGGGCTTGCTGTCAGAAAACTCCAGCGTGGTTTCAGTTCAACAGAGACCTGGTGTGAGCCCTGGAATATTAAAATAAATGAAGATAAGACTCAGGGGATTTACTTTCCTCACAGTCATTGACCTCCTAAGTCCCATCTTATACTGAATGGACGAAACATTCCATTTGAAAATAGCGTAAAATATCTCGGTACAATCTTTGATTAGAAAGTTACATGGAGATTACATATAGAAATGATCGAAGCCAAGGCCTTCGGAACATTTATTGGAATATATTTCCTATTCAAAGAGCGATTAAGCGCTAACATTAAATTGATCATCAGTAACCTCACATGTGGTGGTTTATTTGATTTCATTCTCGTGTTTTCACCCATTAAATTAATATTATTAGATCAGAACGCACGAGTACTTGTGAGTGTTACTCACCAGCACAGCTCACCACACTGCTCGCCATAATCTCCCCAGTTTTGTCAGTTATTCTCTGAGCAGATGAAACAAGACTTCATAATCTTTATAAATGTTGAAGAATGCCGTCTTCTGGGATGTGGCGCCATGTAGACATCGTGATAACCGACGTTTCTGAGGAATGCATCGCCTCCATCTTCGTGATATAAAAATCCGTTGTTTTCTTATAGCCTGAAGATTGAGGCGATACGTTCCTCCGAAACGTCGGTTAACAAAATGTCTACACTGCGCCACATCCCAGAAGACGGCATTCTTCACAGTCACCGCCGTGAAGATCTCAAATCTTATATCGGTAAATGTTCCATACGGTTGCGCTAACCCGACATATCCGAAAAGAATCCCCTGTACCAAAAACAGAGGATGATAACTATTCCCACACATGATGTGCCTGCAGCTCTGTGTCATCTACACTGTCCTACATGCCGGAAGCCTAGATAGCTCAGTCGGTACAGCAGCGGGATACTGGCTGGAAAGCCGGGGGTGCTATTTCGGGGAAGGGAGAGAGATATTTCTTTTCCCCGCAGCGTTCTGGCCGGCTCTGTGGACCACCCAGCCTCCTATCCATCGGGTTCTAGGGATTCCTAACCCGAGGGTAAAGCAACAGGGGCGCGAAGCTGACCAGTCACCGCCATCTAGTGTCGTGGTTAAGAATGATTGAGCTATACATCTACTCGCCCATACATCTGCATGGCATGGTCCTTAATTAAGCACAGGGAGAACTTCACATTCACCTTTACACATGTTTGTCACAGTTATGACAGCTCTGTCAGTGTAGTGAGCAGGGTATGAACCGGACGATTGGGGTTCGATTCCTACAAGGTGCAGGGCTTGTCTCTTCACCACAGTGTCCATACTGGCTTCTCTGAGCGTCACCCAGCCTCCTACATACCGATTAACCAGAATAAGGTGATTGTTCCGTGTTATGAATGCGTGGAGCTGCACTTCCACTCCTCACACGTCTTCACGGCGTGATAACTAGTTTTGCACAAATAAGATTTTGTCTGTACTGTATACATTCCGCTGTGATTTCCATGTAGTGAACTGTCCTTGCAGAAAGTAACGCGATGATATGATTTCAGACGGACGGAGAGTCGCAGGTCGCGAGGCAGCAGGAGGCTCGGAGGCGCGCGCTGGCAAGAAGAAGGGCCCAGGGACAACAGACAAGAAACGCGAGGCGAAGACTGCGCACGCCGCCTCCCGTTGCGGGCCGAAAGCACGAGAATGTACAGACTGAGAGATACCTTGAAGAGGTGGGCAAATAATGTGACTGTATCGTGCCAGCTTCAATAAATAAGTGGCTTATTTCATTAATGAAATATTTTATCGCAGGAGGACAATACACTCGTACAGATCAACAGAGTCTTAGTGACATGATTCAGTGATTAGCGGCTCAAGTTTGTCACTATCTTTGAAGCTTCCAGGTTCGATCCCATGCATTGATATGGTGATATTGCTAGGCAATGACTCGGTAAACACACTCCCTCGGGAGCTAGCGCGCAACAGGATGTCTATTACCAAGTAACGGATCAATAAAAACGCCTCCTTAACAATGCTGTGTTTTCTGCATGGTTCGTGCAAAGTGGTTATAAAGAAGTGTTCGGCAGCATAGAAGAGAAAAGAAGAGTAGTCGGAAATGAAGAGTCACGTTTTCGGAACCCCAGCCTTCCGAGATATGAGCTTTGGAGCAGAGGAATTGAATTGAGTCGGATCTTCGGAGTTGACAGCTGCAGAATAATAGCAAAAAACGGGTTAGGCAATGAAAAGAAGACTTGAAGTGATAGTGTGACTGTTATAAATCCGTTGCCATGATACGACTCATGAAGACTGAGAACCCAAGTGCGTGCGTGTGTAACGGTGAACTGTAAAGTGTGTAAATCAGAGATAGCGCTGTATTACCTGTAGTCCAACTTTCTGAATGCGTAAGGTGCAATAAATCCAAACATCAAATCCAAAACCCTTCCACAAGTCACCCATACACGTGGCAATATCTTTGACATTTCTAAATGACCTCCACAAAGGAGTAGCAATATAATTTGTTTCAGTAACAAAATTATTGGAGTGCTGCGGCTTATCAGTTCCTTCTGAATTAGTATTATTTTTATTGCTAGTGGGGTGGGACTAAGTCCCTTGTACTGCGGCCACTTCTGGCCTATTGTACCAGCCCCAGATGATAGGTGAGGGTGATTGTGGAGCAATTGGTGGAATGAAGATTGGCAGGGGAAACTGAAGTACTCGGAGAAAACCTGCCTCAGCGCCACCTTGTTCACAACAAATCTCACTTGACCAGACCCGCGGTGGGAAGCCAGCGACTAACCTCTTGAACTATGGCGCGAGATGCTTCTGTAAGGCTGGAGTTAAATTATCTTGTGCCGGTGTAAATCTCTTGGAAAAGAATTAGGAGCTACTTAACAATAAAGAACAGCAGATTCTTTTCATGCCAGTAAATAAATTTATTTAGAAGTAAATGTGAGCATAAATGCAACTACAAGCAGCAAGAAAGTCACAATATAATTACATTAGGGTATAACCCGTTGAGAATTCAATGAAGACTCCCGCCATTTGTCACATAACTTTCCGTACTATGATTGTCCCCATGAATATGCAAACTTCCCGGTACCAGTGCAACTGCCCTCAACGACGGATCTAAATCAGTGGTCGATTAAACTGTCAGGAGAGTATGATTTCAGCAGAGGTATACGGCCCACAGGTCAACCAATGGACGCTCATTACGGAAATGCAATTTGGACGTGTCGGCGACTCATGCATCACCTACCATTATTAGGTATGCTCCACTGGAGAATCCAATGGTATTTTTCATGTGTGGTAGCGAAAAGTATAATCCGATAGTGAACGCATGGCCCCCGCGTTCACTTTAGTAGTGAAGTGATCAACCACGTGTTGTTCCTATGGGCGGACTCAGGTGCCACCACAATGAATACTGTCGAAGGTTACGATGAAAAATTAAATGAATGGATTGATGCAAAAGTATGATCGTACATATATCAGGTCTGTCGGCTTGTGTCGTCATGGGTTTTCCGAACGTATGAGATTGTATTCAATAAAATAGGATGGATCAGCGGTGGAGAGGCGGCAGGAGTTTCTTACCGTACCTACTTACTTACTCATGGTGCTGAGCCCTTCTGGAGGAGCCGCTAATTCTGCAACTATTCAAGAATTTCCTAGCATTTTATGGAACCCAAGGTTCAATACCGTGTTCACAAGAGCTCTCTACTGGTCCCTATCCTGAGCCAGATCAATCCAATCCATAACATCCCATCCTATCTCTCTAAGATATATTTTAATATTGTTCACCCACCTACGCCTTGGTCTTCCAAGTGGTCTCTTTCTTTCTGGCTTTCCTATACACATTCCTCGTCTCCCCCATTCGTGCTACATGCCCTGCCCACCTCATCCTCCTTGAGTTTTTTTTACCGTGGAAAGAAAAAACTCCAAGTGGAAGAAGAGTAGGAATAAAACAACCAAGCCAAAAACGTGAACTCTAACTACCTATAAACATATCCTTCGATGGTGATGGTAATATGCGATGAAACATCATGTGACGTTCAGAGATGAGAAGAAAAAAGTGCAGAAATAAACATTATATTGTATGATAAAAATTATTGTCTATTAGTTATACCTTATACTGCTAAATATTATTCTTATCCAGAATAACGCCAAAGACCACGGTAGTACATCTAGACCGAATGGCGCCTTGCCATGGAGCCGCCCAAGACGAGTAGCTCTAAAGAGGGAGCAGTTGGAGAACAACAGCGACAGCCCAACCCTCGAAGACTGAAGGAACCAGAAGAAGAAGCGTCAAGCCCAGTATGACGTTTCGGTGTCATTCACGAGGCTGATCATATACGTCACATGGACGTCCCTTCGGAGAAGAAATGGCTGTACGCCTGCAGTCTGCTGGAGACGAGCAGCCTTGAGGAGGGAGTAATGTGACATAACACTTGAAAGGCTGAATAGCGGAGCCATAAGAAGCGGTCATTGCTAGGCAATGGCACGGTAAACACGCTTCCGCAACAACGATTCAATATGTAACAACAAAGAAAATGTTGGACGCGATGTTTCCTGTGTGGTCCACGGCGAGTCTATATAGCGAGGAGCAACAAGAATAGTTACTCAGCCGGAGGTCGGAGTCGGCGGTTATTAGTCGTGAGTTTGAATTCAGCAGTGGCACTTCGTGCCGCGAGCCATTTTCATTGTTAGCAGCAACTACTCAGTCACGACCAGTGACGTCAGAATAAAAAGCATAGGACTTTGTATGCGTAGTTGTAGTGACTTATAGTGTGTCTGTAAGTTAGTATATGCAGTTTAATTAGTATAATTATAACAAGCACTCCGATTTATAGGTTATATCAATTTCAACGGCACCCTTACTCTCTTCCTTAAAGTAAGTTATGAATATCTAAAAAAAAGTTTTCGTTAATTTTTGATAACGGTTCGTAGATAACTAAGGTCACATGGCAACAAATGATTTCAGACAAGTTCGGACTTCGTATCCTGGAGAAATAACAAATTAACGGAAACCGTCATATAGATATACTGTGCTACTACAAGTTAAAGTGGAGACTAATATTTTAAGGGGTTTCCAACGAACCGTATAATTCCAGAAACCTAACACCTAAAGATGAAACCAATGGGTTACAATGAGTGTCGATGTTAATAATTCGTGGAGTTTTATCCTCCAATGTAAATGTTATTAGTTATAGAATCAAGAGATCTAAAATAAATAGGGCATGTAGCACGCACTAGAGAACTAGGAAATGCGTATGGAATTTAAGTCGGTTAGCCTGAATGACAACCCTGAACGGTGGATCACTCGGCTCGTGGGTCGATGAAGAACGCAGCAAATTGCGCGTCGACATGTGAACTGCAGGACACATGAACATCGACGTTTCGAACGCACATTGCGGTCCTTGGATTTCCAATCCCGGACCACGCCTGGCTGAGGGTCGGCTATCTNTCACATTAAGTGGAGGAACTGTTTTGGAAGAGACTGTGGACCTGTCATCTGACAGTTACTGATCAATCAATCAGCCTGAATGAAGGACACAACTTGTCACTGAAGGAAGGGTTCTGTTAAAATGTATCTTAATGAAATGATACTAGAGGGTATGAATTGCATTAATCTGGCACAAGATACGAAACAGTGGCGTGCTCTTGTAAGCTTAGAAACAAAATTCGCTTTCCAGACAAGGCGAAGATTTTTTTTTCTTGGCAGTACAGCCCCAGTGGGCCTAGGCCTACCTCCATGAACTTCTCCGTTCACTTCGGTTTTCCTAGATCTTAGACATTCGGTAGGACTCCTTGGGCGGGTGATCAGCTCGTCGCAAGGCCTCTACCTGTACACAAACATAGAAAAACGCACACACACAAACTAAACATACATGTCCTGAGTGGGATTCGAACCCATGATCCCGGTTTCCAAGCGAGCGAAAACAGTACATGCCAAGGCGAAGAATACCTCAATTTAAATCTGTGACTATTCGTTTCGCAAGACAATCTTTATCTCTGTCCTTGAAGCAGTCATTTATATTGAGATTTAAATTTTGTTTTAACGTCTTATTTTCATGTTATGTGCTCCGCCCAGCGCTTCCTTCCTGAACTGATCTCCATAACAAGCTGTGGTTGCGGTTTCAAAGCATTAAGCATTTCCTTGTACAGTTTTCTCAATGCTCCCGTTACATTCTTATGACCAAATTTGTCTAATTACTCATCTCTGAAACCTTAGGCCTGCATATTTCTGACTGCAGTTTCTTATTCTCGCCTCATGAAGTTATGCTAATCCGTTGGTAAACTTAGCACCATTCAGCGCGCTCATCACACAATTTCACTGTCAGCAAACTACAGGGTGAATCGTATAGAACCGGCCCGATGAATTTGCTAATAATTCCGCAGGTGATGCATATAACCGCTCACAATTACGACATAATAATTCGTGGGCCGTGCTGAGTCGAATGGTTTGCGCATGATCCGGCAAGTGGCAGCCCTTATGCTGCAAGGTCAAGGACAATGTCGAAACGTGTCTGTAGTGCGCAGGCGACAGTCATGGAGTACACTGTTGAACAGCGAGTGTTTCTAATGCCTACTTGAAAAGGGCGGACACTTTCAACACCTGCTCTGATCACGGCACACAATCCAAGATAAGATATGTGTAAATTACTTTAATGTCTGTATGGTATATTTTATATTACACCTCATTTCGTCGGGCCGGTTCTATACGAATCACCCTGTATTTTATTCCATAAATGCTCAGAACAAAGTGGCATTTGTACTTCTATTGCGTTGCAGATACTGAACCGTCCTCCAGAAAGCGATGCGTCCTGCCAAACGGACTTGTTCCTAGACAGAGCCGAGACTCCAGTCTACATTCCAGCTAACAACGGACTGGACGTCCAGACGCAAATCTACCCAGGAGACGTAAGTTACAACTTCCATCTACTTTGTGGCAATATGAATGTTCGAGTTATAAATTGCAGAAAGGTAGGGCTACCAGGTGATATCAATCAATCGGTTCTGTAACATCGTGGACAACTATTCGATATAGATGTGGATATAGAGCATTGATACATCATGAAATCTCTTGGTAATATGAGCTTCGTTTTATTTAGTCTAAGGCACTGAAATGCTGAACTCTGAATATTAACAAAAAATGGAGGAGTCTGTTATTAAGGTGGAGAAAAGTATGAAGAGCGTGTCAGTCACATATTGCATATAAAGGCTACATGCAATGTCTGAAACAGAATTGGAGGCACGGTGCGTCAGGGTACGTAAATTTGAAGTAGAGCAAAACTGATATTATTCTGTATTCTTGCTGTCCTGTGTGTAAAGTAGCGGCCTTGCGACGGGCTGATCTCCCGTCCAAGGAGTCCTACCGACTGTGTATAGGATTACGAAACTCAAAAAGCGGCCAAGGGTCAAGAAAGGGTTGTAGAGCCATTGATGAAAGAACGAATGAAAAGAAGAATATAATAGCCGATCACAGTGGCCACGCGGTCTAAGACGTGAACCGTCTTCGCCCTCCTGAAGACTGGAATCGTGGGTTAGAATTCCTCCCGAGGCATGGATGTCCGTGTGCGTTTATTCTGTGTTTGTGTTGTGTGTGTGTATAGGTAGCGGCCTTGCGACGGGTTGATCCCCCGTCGAAGGAGTCCTACCGACTGTGTATAGGATCAAGAAACTGATAAACAACAAGTCCAAAGAACTATAGATTCATAGAGAGAGAGATGACTACAATTTTGTTTAGCTCATGAGCTAATATGGGTACTGAAAAGTGCGTACATTTGCAGAGACCGAGCACTGATACAATTCTACCAAAATAAATGGATGTCAGCCTTAACAGGCCTGAGCCTGCTTGATCGCTCTATTTGAATTTACTTCTCACCCAAAGAGAGGATGCTTTCAACTTCCTATGTGACGTCAGAATTACTGGACTGAACCTTCGTCACTACCAGAACGTTTTTTCTTTCTGGATGATTAGTGTAGGCCTAGTGTAGTACTTCTAAACATACAATTTCACGTGGTAGTGAAGAAAAAGTGTATTATTTACACAAAACCGTCTCTAAACCATGAAATTTAGTTGTACATTATTTATAGAGCTGCGTGACTTAAAATCCTTTACAATATGGATTTATTTTCGCTAAATAATTCCCGTAACTTGTTTATATAACATGAAGCGATGACGTTAGAACGTTTCGGGGTTATCGCTCTACCAATACGAGAAGCTACGTGCTACATGTATTTTGCGAGGGTCGCTAAAACATACGCTTAACGCATACGCGTATGTCAAAACTTGCGTACACAGTCATTCGAACCACGTGGGGAGAAGAGGAAAGGATGAAGAAGACAGAAGGAAGAATGCCACTAAGAAGATCTAGACGTAGGTAGGATAATATTAAAGTGGATATTAGAGAGATTGGGTTGCTTTGGATTTGATTGAACTGGCTTAGGATAAGGATCAATAGAGGGCTCTTGAAAATACGGTAATGATCCCTTGTGTCCCACAGAATGTTGGGAAATTTTTGCGAAGCCGCGTAACTGGCAGCTTCTCAAGAAGGCTCAGTTCCATGGAATGAGTGAGTGAGTGAATTAGTTTTCAGTTAGTTAGATAAAGAGCGTATTTGAAACTATACGCGCTCCTGCCAGAGCATACGGCTTCCTCTTATGCATATGCCTGATTGTATTTACAATATGATATGTTTGTTAAAAGTCGATTTATTGCAGTATTACTACTTGAAATAATTAGTCAATATTCCGAAAATATGCCAAGCCAATCGAGAAAAAATCTCAAAATATGGTCTTCAGGCTTTCAGAAATGTATGCAGTTACCCCGTAAAATATTTCAAATATTCTCAAAAAATGTTTAAGGCATATTTCCTGGGGCATTCCGACTACAGACTACATGCCTGTGGAAATATAGACGTTTCTATCCACAACCATAATTATTCAGATGTGATAAATAATCACACAGACTAACTCACTAACTCACTAACTCACCCATGGAGCTGAGCCCTTCTTGAGAGGTTGCCAATTTCTAACAGAAATGAGTACCAGGAAGTTTTTTTTTTTTTGAGGGGTAAAGGGCAGGCGGTGCTTAAGGCTGGCAACCTCACCGCCATCTGTGAGCCGACTGCTTAGAACATTTGGAAGCCTCGGCGTCTCAGATCCCCACAGGCCTGCACGGCCTTTTGCAGAGATAGCTTTTAATTCACTTAGACTTAGATACAGAATATATTTAAATGTGAAACAAAATTACAAATATAAATGTAAATAAAAATGTATTCACATTAATTCATTCACTCGTCCCTCTCTTCAGACTCACACTTTTTAATTACCTTAACCCTCCCACAGATAGCTTTGTGGCTGTAAGTTACTTCCTGAACCTAAGGTGGGGGCCATAACAGCTGGAAGGAAGAACTTTGCATAATGGGGAGTTTCATAACGTTTTCTCTTCGCCAAATGACATGAAGGCGATCAAACAAAAGAGGCTGAGATGAGCAGAGTATGATAATGCAAAGATATCTGTAGCCCGAAATCCTAAGAAAATGGGCGACATGGGGCCCACAGTCGAAGATAAAAGGAGAGTATCTTATGGGAATATGGTGTAAGGGGGTGGTTTCCATTCACCTAGCCCAGGGTAGGAATCAGTGGCGGGCCCTTTTCAAAATGCTGACATTCGGGTATCAATAAATGCTGGAAATAATTTGATGAGCTGAATGACAGTTCGATTCTCAAAGAGGACTCTTAAACTTTAGAGTTATTTAATCAGTTACTTTTTTTCCAAAAGTCCTGTAAATGAGACTTGGGACCTTCACGGCGGTAAAGATTCTTATAGTAGTCTTTTTGGCTGTGAAACCCAGAAATGTTGTAGATTGTTACGGGTGTTCCGGAGGAACATGTACCCTCAGACTTCTGGGTAAAGATGGAGGCAGCATGGTTCTCTGAAAATATAATAAACTTCTAACATATTACAAGATTTCGTAACCCATAATATCTGAATCTATATCCCTAACTCTAGGCCCTAGTTCTAGAGGAATATATTACACAAGATAGTGAAGCTGTGTCTTCATTTTGCAGTTGTTCGACTTCGATCTTGAAGTGGAACCGGTACTCGAAGTTCTAGTCGGGAAGACGGTGGAGCAAGCGCTGATAGAAGTGCTGGAAGAAGAGGAACTGGAAGCTCTACGGGTTCAACAGAGGCGGTTCCGAGAATTAGGAGAACGCGAGAAGGCTGAACAGCAGCAAGACAAGAGGCTTCGTGAAGAGAAGGTAACAAAGACCCCACAACCTTCTGCATCTATAGTTAGTGCCTCGTAACTTTACCCGCGCGGAAAGGTATACGCTTGCTGTGGTGACGTTCAGAGCTATTCCCCGAGTGGAAAACATTACCTACGGAGACCAGGAGTAGATACACTACGTACTATACACCTGACCACACTCCAAAACGCTACATTCCAAACTGGTAGTA